TTCGAACCGTCCTAGCCACAAGCGGATATCAATTACCGTCACCTCCGAGAACAATCACCGGTGCCTCGCCGCCGGCGGCGCTCGATATCATTGATCATCGGTCGGGGGGGGAGGGGGGGGGGGGGGGGGTGGGGGGTCACCGATCGGCCGGCGGCCAGGTGCCATCCGCAGGGCGGGGCCCGACCGCCCGACCCAGATCCCCCAGGGCGATATAGCGCCGGTCGTCACTCGTCGCCGATCGCCACGACACGGGACGGCTGGCTGCAGTCACCGCCCAGCGGCCGCTGGCAGACAGGGAATGATTCACTGCTACAACCGCTGCGGGCCGTAAATTAGAGCCGAACTTACTTCACGCTCTATTAGCGCGCCGGTTTCCGCAATGTTAATTATCAAAGTGGAGAATGGGATCACTTTTAATGTTCACGCAATCGGCGTCATTAAAATCCAAAATCACAGACAGAACAAGATAGGTAAGGTCTGTTTGCTGGAAAGAGACATTTTCAAGCAGACAAAGTGCATTTTCATAGAGTTGATAATCTTGTTAAGAAAAAGGCACCGAATTATGAATGCACCGAATGCACCGAATTATAAAGCGCATGCGCTTTAGCCATCCCTAGGTAAGATACGTTTACGAATAACGCTCCGCAACGCCCTTCGCAAGGAAGGTAATCAGAGATCAACCCTTCTCCTCCCTCTCAAAAACTTCTACCATCTCATCCCCCACCACCTGAACATACGAACGTTTTCGGCCGCTCCGGTCGTGCACACATTGCACGCCGGCCAGTGCATGGATGAAGTCACCTACCGTCCACTCACTGGGTAGGTTGGTGCGCCGCACTGCGGGCCCGTCGGCCGCCACCTGATACGGCGCGGCGCGGCGACCCGCTCGGCTGGGAGGCACCGGTGCAGATTGCGCCGGGGGTGTATGGTTCAGACGTGGGACGGCGTCGGATTAGGGCACCGTGTGTGCTCGCGGCTGGTATCAGTGCGCAACTGTTGAAGCTGGTAAATACTGCGTGTTGGTTGACGGAAATCCAGGCTCAGACTAGCAGTTTTGATAGCCCGTCGCTGAAACGTTAGTGAAAGCTGACCGAGTTTCGCGTGAAGAGATTGGCGTTCTCAGAGTCGTGATTTGCGTACACGTGCAATGCGTTACGAACATTCGTGACAAATCAGCCGTAAGCCAGAAACCTGCCGATGATCCATCACGTCAATTCACCTGTTGGTTATGTAATGGCGCTAGGGAAAGCCACTGCATCCAATTGCAGAAATCACGACCACAACATTCCACCCACTGCTAGTCCCGGCCTGGCCACCAGTCAGGCTGGTTTCGCAACATCTCGGCAACGTTTTCAGACCAGTACCGTCTCGCAACGGCACCGAACTCACCGCTCGGTAGACGAAATTTCCCTGACTGCTGGTCAACACCCATCGTGAATCCGCCGTTTCCTATCAGTCTCTCATTAATTCGGTCCAAGGCTTTAACTCATTAACTCTCATTAACTCGGACCTTGGCTCATTAACTCTCCGTCCTATCACATACTCTTCTGAAACCCTGCCCTTTCCATGCTTCCCTCTTTCGTTCTCGACCCCCTAATCCCTCTCCAGTGAACGTACTGAGCCGACGCGCAGTACGCCCGCCGTTAATTATATGCGGGCCGTGCGACCGTCATGCGCCATCCGTCCAGTCATGGTGTGGTGGGGGCGGAGAACCAAGGCCACAGCAATGGGCGGCAGTCACTGCACGGCACTGTCACTGCACAGTACACACAGCACAGTGACCAGACAGCCTGACCACAGCGCCGCCGACCGTGTCACTAGTAACGGAAGAAGAGAAGAGGGAGAAAGAAATGAGAGAACTTGAGGCAGAAAATACATGAGAGGAGGAGAGAGTTAAAGAGTACGGGAGCAATGGAGAACAGAAGTACGAGATAGTTACAGAGGGAGCCGAGTTAGTTGGGAAAAGAGCGAAAGAGGCAAGAGATTTAGATGATAAGAGGGGATAGGCGCCTGGAGACAGCGATGGGGAGACGGAGAGGAAGCGAGTGAGAGAGTGAGTGAATACGTGAGTGAGTGGGAGGATGATAGAAATCTTTGTGCGGATGCGGCGAGTGAGTGAGTGAGTGAGTGAGTGAGTGAGTGAGTGAGTGAGTGAGTTAGTAAGTGACCACTGACCATGGTTAGCGCTGGCGACGTCGCTGTGGGTGGAGTGACGCGAGCTGATGGGCGGAGAAGAGGGCGAGAGGGGAGGGGAGGGCGGAGCATAGTCGGTGGCTAGGTGATCAGAAAGGGGGGGGCAGGGAGGGGCGGGACGGCACAGGGAGCGCGCCTCGATAGGGGTGGGGAGGGCGAGGGAGAGACATAGCAGCTGATCAGAACGATTGCGAGCGCCCGTAGGTAAGGTCGCAGGTGACACACAAAAAGTGGACTGGTCTGAACAGGAAAAGAAACGCTTCAAGGCCACACACACAGCCGTCAACAAGATAGTAGTGATCAGAGGCGTTGCATTCTATCCAGGCTAGTCAGTGCAGAGTAAACCATGCCTGCCTTATCCCATGTGCTGCTTTCAATGCCCACTACAGACGACTGGAGAGAGCGATGAAAAAAGACACAAAACAGGAGACAGGGATAGTGGGAAAATGAAAACAGCCAAATGAAAGAAATCGGGAGGGAAAGAGAGAGAGAGAGAGAGAGAGAGAGAGAGAGAGAGAGAGAGAGAGAGAGAGAGAGAGAGAGAGAGAGAGAGAGAGAGAGAGAGAGATGGAGGGAGGGAGGGAGGGAGGGAGGGAGGGAGGGAAGGAAGGAGGGAGGGAGAGAGAGAGAGAAATAGAGAGAGGGGGAACAGAGAGAGAGAGAGACATAGGGAGAGAGAGAGAGAGAGAGAGAGAGAGAGAGAGAGAGAGAGAGAGAGGGAGAGAGAGGAGAGGAGAGAGAGGGAGGGAAGGAGGGAGGAAGGGAGAGAGGAGAGATGAGAGAGGAGAGAGAGAGGGGGTGGGGAAAGGGGAGAGAGGAGAGAGAGAGAGTGAGAGGGAGAGAGGAGAGAGAGAGGACTAGTGAGGGAGGGAGGGAGAGAGGAGAGATGAGAGAGGAGAGAGAGAGGGGGTGGGGAAAGGGGAGAGAGGAGAGAGAGAGAGAGAGTGAGAGGGAGAGAGGAGAGAGAGAGGACTAGTGAGGGAGGGAGGGAGCTGCGCGCTCCGCTGACCAGAGTGGCGCTGGGCCAGCGGGAGGAGCGAGGAGAGGAGCGTTTGCGGCCGTTTCAGCCAATAAGCTCTGAAACGAACCGCCAATCAGCGCTCGTTGAGGGCTGCACGGCGAGTAGACCGTTCTGAGAGGGGCGGGGGCGGGGGCGGTGGCGGGGGCGGTACTCCATGGCCGCTGCACTTCCCACAGCGGCAGACACAGCTATGAACAGTGCAGTCATAAAAGAGGCTTGGTGCTTAGACAGACTAGCTTATAGCAAGGGAACAAGGCCAGCCATTTTCGCTGTTCAGTCACCAGCCGGCCAGGAGTTGTGCACTGACTATACTGAGATCGATAGTACGAACGGGTGCTGAACGCTATTGTTCATCATCATGCAGCCGCACTAAATTATTTAATATAATTAACAGAAATAGCGCCTGTTAAGGACAATTTGTGAAAATTGACAGCAAGCCGTACGTATATTGTATACCTGCTATGCACCTTTATGAATATAACGAAATTGAGGAACGCTTTACACAGAAAGTTCCAAATGACCTGTAGATCAAATGGCATGTGTAATATACTTGCATTTAGCATAAAAAAGACGTCGCTCTCGTGAAATATGAACGAAACAACTACATAACCCTGTTGGATTCAGTGCGGTGGCCGGAACTATCCGAATCAGCCGTACGGCACTCGGATGCAAGTTTACAGGTAATGCTCCTCCCATCCCTCCGGATACACCTCTTTTTCGAGTTACAGGAGTGCCAGACGCCGGCGGCAGTGGGTCAAATTTCGACCATCACGAGTCATAACCCTAGCCGCAGCCGACCGGTCGAAGTGACACTTCCGGACACACCTCCAAACAGGTGTCACAATCAACGGTGACACCCCAGCGGCCGCACCTTCGGACCAGACACAGCTGCGTCTACTTACCGCAGGCGACAGACAGACATACCGACAAACAGACATCGGGTGACGGGACAAACGCCAACCGACAAACACGAGCGCCCACTGCGTCACCCGCCTCGTCTGATCATTTCACACAAAACGGAACTGGGTTTAGAACGAGAAAATAAAAATAGACACCACAAAATAAAGGTCAATTGAACCGGCTTTGAAACCTGGGGCAACTAGACAACCGTGTATAGTGAATATCTTCGCCGGAACCCACATATTTTCCTCGACACAGACGACTCTAAGATGGCCGAATCGGCGCATCATTCCGCTCCATGTCACGGCCCCCAATCTCCATTCCCCGATAAAACCGTCCCTCGCCCACGCCAACGAGTCGTGTCCCTCCCCTCATTCCTAGTTTATAACCGGAAACCTGGCTTCCCGCCAGGCTTCGATAGTAAACCACGGAAAACATGGGCGGTACGCACACAAAGGAAAAACGGTGAACTTTTGGTCAAGGCGGGAGAAGGGAGAAAAACAACGATTGAAAAAGAGTGAGCCAATGAGGAACAGAATGATGCGATTATAACGAGGAGCCATTTTCTGTATTATTCTGTGCTATCTCAATACCGGGATGTGTGCTCACTGCTCGTCATTATCGAGCAAATATTGCTTCGATAATGCGTCGTCGAAGCAGCCTTTACGCTCGCATGTGATCCGGCATCAATATCGCTCAGCTGCCCCGGGACACGACAGGCATAGCGACTATAATAGCAGAGGTTACTAACTAATCTAATGAGATTGACGGTGAGGACATCGGGTCGGAAGTGTAGAGCGTGCGATCGCACCGATTTCACAATATCAATCACACTTCAACCGGCTGTTGCAATGTCAAACCAGTTTTGATCGAGTTAGGTACTCACAGGCAGTATAGGAGGAAGCAGCTGCAGAACACCATGGGCAGCTCGTCGGAGAGCTGCATCTCGTACAGCAGTGTCATGTGGAACGCCCAGGAGCCGAGTCCCACCACTGGCGGCACATGGGACACAGCGTCAGTCGGGGTACGGAGCTCGGCGCCGCCTGCCGTCCGGTCAGCCCGGCCTCTGGGACTTCAACACATAGTGGCCTTGCATGATGTTTGGCAAATTCTTCGATTGCACAGCTGTCAGAATGTTTCACGACTTTGATCAGCGGAGATTTTATCTCAGATCAGAGTTTCCCACCTATATAGCAAAAACATGTTTGCAATTACATCGGCGAGTCAAACGTAGCCACTCGACCACAACCAGTGTTCAACAAGGTTCCCTGATTGATCTAACACTTGCGCAGGCCAACAATCACGCTGTTCAGCCGGCAAACCGATAAAATCACACTCAGAATAATACGCAACGGTAATTAGCACAAAGAGAAATAGCTGCAACACGGCTTCGATAAGTATGGCGAATATTTACCTAGTAGAAGAACAAAGCAGATGGCGAAGCGAAGCTCGAACTTCTGCCTCAACACCTCGTAGATGCCGTAGATGGGCGGCAGGATCATGGCCAAGTTGCTGATGGTGTTCCCTAGGGGGACGGACATCGGACGGTTAGCACGGAGACAGAACATGCCATTTTTGGTAAAAAAAAAAAACATCAGCATCAGTTACGTTATATAAACAAAACGTACAGTCGACTCGATTAGGCCGCGTGGTTACTACAGGGTTATAGATAGCTGGGTTACGGTGTCTTTGTTTGGATTATATCAAACGGAAATGACACACAGCCAGAAATGTAGGCATTTGTCAGTGGCAACGAATGTGAACTTTTGTGAACACAGGCACGGCATGTTAAGCAAAAAGACGCACAGCTTTTAACAGCCGTGCAGATCAGTCATATGCCAGTTATTTCCTGACAAAAATGCGGTGGTGCATTTATTCAGCAGTTCCTGACGTGATTCAGAGCGGGTTGTGGCTTATAGCCCGGCGCGAGGATTAGAGAGCATCTTTCCTCCTAATCTCACGCCACTCCGACGGAAACATCGCCGTACAGACCACGTTCTGTGAGTCACATAGCTCGTTTTGACAGCCCACAGATTGTCAATCGTACGGTGACAATACGTGCAGACGTACTCACAGAACTCGGCGATGTAGTCGCTGACGGCATAGTTGGCCTCGCACCAGTCTAGGGTGGAGGTCGGGCTGCCCCAGAACCCCTCCACGGCCGGAGCCATGCTGGCGCCGCCCTCAGAGCCGCCGCACCTGAAACAGACCAAACAGCGTCGTCCAGTCTTCCGTCCAACCGCGTGAAACACGCTGAAAATAAATATATTTAATTCATGTCGTGTCGGGTTAGCCGTTGGTCGAATTTTGCAGTCATGAGCAGCAAAGAAACATCGTTATGTCGGTATATACTGCCTTGGTTAGGTCCATGACCCAAACGAAACAGTATTCGGTTCCAAAGCAAACAGTTGAGTCTTTAGGTTGTCGCGTCCTAAAAATTGACCGTAATAAGCCACATAACTTCAACAGCACAAGCACAGAAAATGCAACAGGATTGTAATGGAATGATGATGATGGGAGCCTACCAAATATTTTCGGCATTTTTCTTATGCATACATTCTGACACCTGATTCCGACACAATTCTGAACCCAACACCATCCACACGTCAAATTTAAAATGAGCGCCACAGCTCACACTGATTAGATTGACGTTCATATGCTTGTCTTACCAAAAGAACGGCACATAAATTCGAGTCGACTACTACATGCGTCACAAAATCAAGAAAGTACCTAAACATTTAGCAAGAAAGAAACGAAATACCTACCTGATGCGGCAAAACTGACAAAAACGGAGCCTACTTGGACCCTGCACAAAACACAAACAAACGTAAATAACAACTCAATAAACAATCATATGGCAGCACGGCAGAGAATCTCCATATCCAAAAAATATTTATTTTGAAGCAAAAAAGCCATTGATCAGCATAAACGAATATTTTAGAAGATTCTGAAAATAAAAATACAGTCCTGCGATAAGTTATGCAAACTACCGTAGAGTGCTTACTGACGTCCCTAATTCATTTTCACATCATACGTATACTTCAGTGCTTCAGCATTATACGTATGTCCAACTCCAGTGACCAGTGACCAGTGACCTGCAAGTTTCTCAATTTTCAAAAGGTGGAGTGGGTTAGGTGTAGAAAACGGTCCTTCCGGAGTGGCCGGTAGGTTCACAACAACTCAAAGATTACTGCTCACCAACTTTGATAAGGCGTAGATTGCGATCGGCTCCATGAAACTAACCTCGCGGTCCCGCGACGTCCGCTGTTTTTGCCGGCGAGATGCCGGCCTCGAGATTTAGAGATCAACCAGTGTCAGTCGACAGCAAACAGACCTCGGGACACTATTGCTGGTTGAGGTCCGGCCTGACTCGCTCAGACACTCCGGCGTTACCACGAGCACCACCTGTGCAGCACCACTGGGCCACCTGTAACGCGTGTCCGACCGCCGCGGTCGCGTGTCACCGGTGCCGCCGAGCCGACGGTACCACCCCCTCTGTCACCTTCTGCGCACTGCCGGCCGCCCAGCCCGCGGGCTCCATTACAACCGCCCACCGAGCTGCGCACCGGCATCGCCTAGTTGGCGACGTGGCCACGAGGTGGTAGCACGGGCGCAGTTCGGGTGCAGCTGCACCGTACAGCTCCCTTGTATGAGCTCACTGAACGCCACCTGTATTGCACGAAGCCCGGCAGGAAGCTGGCTCATGGCTGGTGTGGCCGATGAGCCTGTCGCCAGCAATGCTAGCGTCCAGCGCCTGGTAACATGGTGTCGTTATACAATCGCGATATAGGACGTCAAAGACTCAAATGACACTTGTGCAATACACCGATGCCTGTCAATTGGCATCATTGCAAAACGAAACGAGTTCCTGATTGTGATTGAAGTCGTGAACTCGAGCAGCTCGTAATAGTCGAAACAAACATAATGTTGCCAAAATGACGTTTCCTAACATGTCTCAGCATAAACATCGCAACAGTCCGCCAGACAATGGCCATAGCGTAGTCATGTCCAAGGTTCTTACAGATAGTCATGACCTCATGACCGCTAAAATACAGGGCCCTGCACCAAGCCCGGAAGTCTGAACGAGCTCCAGTGGCTGCAGGCGCTCACTAACGAACCAGTCCAGTGCGGATACTGGCGTTCAATGCCTCAATGGCACCTTTAATTATGAACATCGTTCGTACTACAGCATTCCACAGCACACAGCGTTGGGCTGTCTTATTGGCTACCGCGTGGATGCACGCTGAGGGCAGCAAGCGGAGCCAGCCGACATTATCTGAGCCGGAGCGGGAGCGCTGTGCCATCTCCACAGAAGCCAGTGTCATCGAAGGACGAATCTGCCGTGCGTGAGGCGACGCCCGGCGGTCCAATCGCCAAGTCATCATATAGTGCATAAATGAAAAAAATGTGCTGAGTGTCGCGGCACGTCGGCGGGTCAACCTCAGCGAGGCACCGAAGGTCACGCAACTGCCAGTTCGTCTTTCTATAAAGTATACATCACTGTGACTAATATACAAATTCAGCCTTCAGTTACGTGACCTTCAGACTTCAAGATATAAGCACGCACAGTGCACACAAATGGTATCCAAGGAGCTACGCGTCCACCGACGAAAACAAGTTAACGGCTGTCACGTAGGTCATTATGGCAGTCTAATTTTGCGTGTCTGATCAGCATATATCATTCGCACGCGACCCGACGAAGACCATGATACCGAAGATAACGGCGAACATTCACGAGTGAACGGAGGCGAGCATGTGAAGTTGGCATTTGTTAATCCAGCGGCGGCAAACTTCACCTCAATGACAAGTAGCAGGTGTGCAGTGTCTGCTACCTCTATCACAAGGATCACAAGTAGCTGGTGTGTGGTATCTGCTACTGTTCTAGCCTGTTTCTTTCGCCGGTGTTCACCGTTCTGAAACGGTGGACAGCAACAGGCCATTTCCCATTACACAAGGGATGCCTAGGGCAGGCTCTCGGGGGAGTCGATCTAAATTTCGCCCCCCACCCCCATCTAACTGCCACCATACAACGTATGCAAAACAGTTAACCTTGCAGCTGAGCACAGCAACTCCTACGCAGAGCGTAACTGGCGGCCGGATAACCCCCGCCTCGTCAGACAACTCACAATAAAGGCGCCGCCGACCCGGCCGGAGCGGACGTCCCGGTTCCGCCGGCGCGGCGCAGACGCTTCCCCAGGAACGCACCGTTTCCGGCATCCCGACCAGGCCTGGAGGGAGCAAATGATAGCGCCTTAACGGGTCGTGCAAACGAATAAATACACAGTCAGTTCAACGGGCCGCTGAGGCACATGTAACAACTGATTTTTGAGTGGCATTCCCAGGCCCAGACAGACGCGACTCGCTTGCCAGGTTCACCAGTAACGACCCATGTGTGTCACTGTAAGCGTTATCAAAGCATTCCTGGATTGGACAGCCAGCAACACTGAATAACACTGGCATGGTCACGGACTCATGTAAGCTACATGTTACAAAGATCGTTTTGTCCCCCATATGAGGAAATAATTAAATGTGTACCAAGAATCCATAAGAGGCATGAGTTTGAACGCAATTATGAACTCGATTCACAAGGAAACCCAGAAAATTAACTCAAGTCATCCTAATAAATGTTTGCAATCCGTGACATAGTTTGACAACTTCACAGCGAATGACTTTGCATTTGCTTTTATTAATACAATACAATGTCCCTCGAAGTCGCCTAAGATGTAACGCAGGGCGCAGAAAACACATTGCTAAAGAGCATCAGGCACGCCTCGTCTAGTTTTCGTCGCTGACGTCGACAATCAACACACTACATACATGCTCTTTTAGATCACACACGCAAACACACCCACGCATTACCTACTCAGTCGCCACGAGAACAACGCACGCCATCCAGAAGCCTAACTATCACGCACGTCCACAAAATTTCCTAAGACATGTCACAAAACTGAGGTGTCGAGAGGATGCCGGTGTATCATAAAAGTACGAATATCGATCATTGACATTCGCCGAAAGAAGAAAAAACAGGCGTAATTGTACAAAGCACAAAGTATAGCGACCCAGCAAGTGAGATTGAAAGGAGATTTAGAGGAGGAAAACCTAAAAACCCCGTGCTGACAAATTTGGGTAACAGCAGAGCGCACACTCAGTACTATACCAGGATTAATATAAATCAAACGGACTTCAGTTGCGCCTTGCTTTCATTTATCCCGGGGCACGGTTTTCCGCACACTTGAGCAGCATTCTCGAATAGCAGCACTTGAGGCATACACAGGAACACTTTACAATCTCCAGCAAAGTTTGTACCATGCCCAGTTCCACCGTCCATTTCTCGTGGTTGATGATCCTCCACACCGATTTACCGGGCTCAAAACCACAAGACGGAATAGCTCCCCGTCTAGTCTGACGCCTCTACAACGCACCGCGGCACGCAGCGACGTACCTGAGCGACTCTCCTCAGGCGAGCAGCGAGACGAGAGCGTCCACAAAGCGCGTGCGATCGTCCACCTGAACCTCCACCACCGAGCCGTCGAAGCTCCTGGGCGTTATATTCGCCCTGATCCGCTGAGCCGCCTTCTCAAACGCCTTGCCGAACAGGTTTCTCGGCGACTGTTCTGAGAGGGGCGGCACACCGACCACCAGGCAGGCGCCACCGTCGCGGCCCAGCGGCGTGGTCAGGATCAGAGGCAGCTGGCGGGAGCGCTTCGACCTCTCCCCAGCCACGTGCGCGCGCAGCACAAAGTGTGCCAGCGCTGTGAGACAGTGCGGCCGCGCGAAGAAGTGCGAGTTGGGCTCGCCGTCCGAGACGGTGGCGTACAGGAAGGCGCCCACGGAGATCACCTGGTGCATATCCAGCAGGCTCTGCACGGTGGCGCACGTCACCTGGGCGAGCTTCTCGGCGAGGCCGATCCCGCGGCGCAGCAGCGGCTCCTGGCGCCGGTCCAGGGCGGACAGCGCGTCCATGAAGCAGTCGTCGGCCGACCGGTGCGGGTCAGGGTTCTCCAGCAGAGCCACCATGGCGTGCACCACGTCAGCGGCCGCCAACGGCTGTCGGAAGCCCAGTCGAGCCTGGAACGCGCCGTACAGCACCCCGTCCAGCAAGTACTTCTCGGCCTTGGCCTGGATCAGGTCCCGCACCTGTCCGCGAAGTGCCATGTCCATGGAGGCAAACTTCTGCCGGCACTGCACCAGTGGCAGGCCGAGCTCGGCCAGAAACTCCTGCAGTCGCTTCTCGCCTTTGAAGGTGAACAGCTTGAACTGGCAGGCGACCAGCGGAGTGAAGCGCAGACTGTCGAACAGACTCCAGTGCCGGTAGAGCACCAGGTTCAGGTCCTGCTCGAAGGCCAGTCGCAGACAGTCTGCCGACGTGGTCTCGTCGCGCTGATGGCCGTAGCGCGCCACCTGGCCCTGGTAGTGGCCGGCCGACAGCACGTACCGCTGGTGCTCCACCTTGCGCAGCAGCAGCTGCTCCGTCAGGCCTACCAGGCCGTACCACAGCAGCTGAGACGTGTCCCGGCTCATGCGCAGCGCCAGGTCGTAGGCGAGCAGGGCGCTGCAGTCGCCGTACATCGAGAACTGCGAGTACTCGGCCAGGAGGCGGTCTCGGCGCTCCTCCCAGCGGCGCCGATCCTGCCGGCGCGCCAGGAACGCCGCGTCGTAGCGGCGCCGCTTCTCGCCGCCCGACTCCGACTCGCCGGCGTCCGAGTCCGAGTCGGAATCGTCCGAGCGGTACAGATCGGAGAACGGAGGAACGCCGTCCTCGGCGGTCACCGGAGTCACGATCCGGACCTGATGGGCAGTGAGGGAGGCGCTCGGTCACACGGGGAACAGCAATGATACCAGAGACCGGGAGGGGGCGGTCACAATCGGGGAGACAGCAGCAGTAACAGAGAGGGAGAGAACAGTCCTACGGAGGACGGCACCGATACCAGAAAGCGGGGAAAGGGAAACAGGGCTGGCCGCGAAACCGAATCAGATGGGTTGTGCTGTGCGACTCCGAGGAATACCGCGTTCGACGAAGTTGATAATTTATGATACTCTAATGGTTGCTGTGCCACAGAAATACAACAAAATTAACAATACAACTTAAACAGGTTGAATCTGCATCAGCAGCACATACACACCTGTCCGTCGTTGTAGACGTTGTTGACGTCCATTGGCCGCTGGGAGTCGATGACGAATATGATGACGTCATCGGGAGGATCCAGCTCAGCCACCAGGTCCATGGAGATACCACAGTTGATGAGGACCACCAGTCGCACCAGGCCCACATTGTCCTTAAAGGACTGGCGCAGGTCATCTGGGCCCTGCAGATGGTGAAGGGAAGCACAAAGTCATGAAAACTTTCTGTGAGATGGATAATCACACATAACATACTACAGAGTTTAGGTATTCAGATGGTTTTTTGGCATATTGACTATTTTACTCATTCAAAATCAATCAGAAAATGGGATGTTAGTGAATCCAAATAAATTCAATTAAATAGTATGGAATGCTGCAACTTGAAAAGACTATCAATTAACTTGTCAGTAGAGCATAAAAATAACAAATTCTAAGGAGATTTAGAAGTTGCAATGGCTTGGCATGAACCCATCACAAACCTACCTTTATAGGTATGAGGGTATACAGCACATGGTCTCCACGGAAGAGCTCTTGAAGAATTGCTGAAGTGCAGATTGCATCTACATCACAGTGCACGAGCAGAAGTATTCTTTGATCTAACAGCTGCTGGTAGAAGTCCTTCTTTATGTCATTGATAAGCATACTGTAAACAGAAAAGAGAAGTGATGACAATGAAGAAAGTGACCTATTTTCTACCAAGTCCAAGTCCCACCCCAGAAGATTAAATAAAATAATGCTGAGGTCCATAATGTTTTTCAGAATCAATTTTTCTTTCTATCTACATCTTTTTTCAATGCCCTGAATTCATTTTACGGGGACCAGCATGGAATTTTTTCCCATAACATAGCTAGGTAGTAGGTAGGTAGGTGCATCATAATTTGACATCGGCGGTAGGCACATTGATCATGATTGAGCATCATGTGTAGACATGAAACAGCATGAAATGATACTTCCAATGTCACAGAGGGATGCAAAAGGAAGCACACTTACCTTGAATATTTATGCCAAAAGCTATAGCTGTAGCGTGATCATCAAGAAAATAAATAATCTTGATCTATGATCTAAATCTATAAATCACATTATTTACTGCTGAGCATATCAAGAAGGGAGGTACTCAATTTCCTCCTCGCGCTGTTTCACAGCATAAGAAAAACTACAGGGTAAATAGAAACCAGCAGAACCCAGCTTCAATTCCAAATCAAATTCAAATTTTAATGAAATGCGGTGCAGTCTGAAATTAGGATTATTACTGCATCTGCCCAGCTGGACAATTTGGCTAAGGGTGCAGGACACACTGCTACACCTGCTCAAGCCCCTGGGCATGAAGCCCAGAAAAGTATCTTTGCTGAAAATTGACTACATGGAAGGGGCAATGCGCAAAGGAAGACAAGCATGCAGGTTCTCTACACAAACGCAGATCAACTCCCAAACAAAAGAGACGAGCTCTGTATGAAAATAGCTGGCAATGAACCGGATCTTATTCTAGTCACAGAGGTAATTCCAAAAGCACAATCAGTTCCCATCAGTAAGGCTGTAATCTCCATTCCTGGCTACACTCTGTACACAAACTTTGATCCCTCTCAACCTGAATTGGGATCCAGTGGTCGCCGAGGAGTAGGCATATATGTAAAGACCTGCCTCCAAGCTTCAGAGATAACTGTCAGCTCAACGACTTACATCGAACAACTATGGTTGTATCTACCTTTGACAAACGATGACAAGCTTCTTATTGGATGCATCTACCGAAGTCCCTCCCAAAATACAAGAGATGTTTCTGATGAACTGTGTCATCTTCTACATGCTGCCTGCTCATCAGGTCACTCACATCTACTAATTGCGGGAGACTTCAATATGCCTCAAATTGACTGGGAAAATAACTTCTCCCCGGCTCCACCCCTGGATATTTCACACAGGTTCCTGGAGGCACTGGATGACTGTTTTCTCAATCAGCAGGTCACCCAACCAACTCGTTTCCGCCCAGGTGAGACTCCCCACCTATTGGATCTCATTGTGACAAATGCGGATGGGATGGTGCAAAACATCCATCACGAAGCTGGACTTGGCAGAAGTGACCATATCATCCTGAGATTCGATCTGTGTTGTTACACTTACCAGCAAATCGCTCCCGCAGCCCACGCAAACTATTTCAAAGGGAATGCAGCAGAGTTCATTGAGAAGCTCCACGACACTGACTGGGACCCAATGGCAAACCTCACGATCGACGAAAAGTACCAGTTTATCACGGATTGTATCAAAACAAGTGCACAAGAATGCTTCCCGACCAGCAAGAGGAAGTCTAACCGCAAGAACATCTACATCAATGGCCGAGCCCTACGACTCAAAAAGGAGAAAGAAAGACTCTGGACGGTATACTCTCAAACCCAGGATATCCTAGACTACTGCAGATTTACCCGCTGTAGAAACCAGTTGCGGGCCTTGACTAGGAAGCTGAGGAGGGACTTCGAGGAGGAACTGGTCAAACACGTCAAAACCAACCCAAAGGTATTCTGGCGCTATTCAAATTCAAGACTCAAGACTAAGGCTGGACTGGACAATCTCGTAGATGGCTCCGGGAGCATCGTGTGCGATGACAGAGATAAGGCCCAATTACTCAACTCGTTCTTCAGCAGTGTTTTTACAGACGAGGACAGATCTCACATTCCGGAGCCAACCAACCAATTCACAGGCGAGCCAATCGAGACTGTTCCCATTACAACTGAAGCGGTTCGGCTAAAACTTGCTCACCTGAAGACAGATGCCGCCCCTGGCCCGGATGGCTTGCACCCGAAGCTGCTACAACTTGGTGCTGCGGCTCTGGCTGGCCCACTGTCATCACTGTTCGCTGAATCTCTGGAACAAGGAAATGTCCCTTCAATATGGAAATCTGCGGCAGTGGTTCCGATCCACAAGAAGGGTAGCAGGAGTGCCCCAGAAAACTACCGACCAATCAGTTTGACGTCCATCCCATGCAAGATCATGGAGTCTCTGGTGCGTGACGCCCTCGTGGAGTTCCTCGCCTCCACTGGCCAGCTGTCCAAGCACCAGCACGGGTTCCGTCCCCGTAGATCCTGCAGCTCTCAACTCATGGAGGTTCTGGACGACTGGACCAAGATGCTCGAGCGGGGTGATCCCGTCGACGTGGCATGCTTAGATTTCCGAAAAGCATTTGACTCTGTCCCACACAACCGACTTCTGAAAAAGTTGAGGTGTTCTGGGATATCCGGCAAACTTCTCAAGTGGATTGAGGCATTTCTTTCCGGACGCAATCAAAAAGTCGTTGTAAACGGAAGCCTTTCAGACTCATTGGCTGTCAGAAGCGGAGTTCCTCAAGGCTCGGTCCTGGGACCCCTCTTGTTTCTGTTGTTTGTCGACGATATCCCCTCTGTGGTAGACTGTTCTGTGAAAATGTTCGCCGATGATACAAAGCTCTATCGGGACGTGTCAACGCTTTATGACAGTGACTCGAGCTCTGCAGCCGCTGAGGTTGTGGAACTGGCTGTCGCCCAACAAAGGGCTGGCAGAAACCATTCCACTCAACTTACCCAGCGCGCCCCTGAAGAGCGACGTCTGAACACGGTTGGAGCCCTGCCTGAGGATGATGAAGAGGGAGAGCTGGCTGTCTCTCATGTCAGAGATGTCAGATACCACTCTGCCCGACCATCGCCTATGCAGCAGGCGCGAGACCCGACGGCCGTAACGACACTTCAAGGCGATATTGATGCCCTGGTGGAATGGTCTGACCGATGGCAGCTCCCATTTAACGAGGGGAAGTGCAAGATCCTGCATCTGGGACGGAACAATCCTCGAATCAAGTACACCATGAGAGGGGTCGAACTAGAGGCGGTGGAAACAGAACGCGATCTTGGTGTCCACATTGACTCTTCGCTTAAATTTCGCAAGCAAGCTGCCACTGCTGCGGCGAAGGCCAACCAGATCCTGGCAGTCATTAGGCGTTCATTCGAGCTTATCGACGAGTTCACACTCCCACTGCTGTACAAGACTCTGGTACGCCCTCACTTGGAGTTCGGAAATGTGGCATGGGGTCCGTTCAACCGCGCGGATCAACTCCTTATTGAAAAGGTCCAAAGGAGAGCAACACGCCTGGTGGCCTCGATTAGACACCTCCCCTATGAAGTACGACTGCAAACCCTAAAACTGCCTACACTGTCCTACCGTCGACGACGTGGAGATATGATCCAGATGTACCAGCTGTTCAATGGAGGGGTCGACCTGTCTCCGGAGGATTTCTTTTCGACTGCCACTGACGATCGTACCCGAGGCCACTCGCGCAAAGTCCAGAAGCCCAGAGCTGAAAGCCGACCAAGAAGGCAGTCGTTCAGTGTGAGGGTTGTCAACGATTGGAATAGCTTGCCCTCGTCGGTCGTCGGAGCTGTCTCTGTCGAACAGTTCAAATCAAGACTGGACGCCCATTGGGCAAACATCAGGTATCTGATACCTGACAGGAGTTAGACAAGTCCCACAAGTTACGAGCTCGATGAGAACGGTTCCCTACAGGCATAGTAGCCTCTAAATTCCGATCAAATTAAGGTAAGGTAAGGTAAGGTAAGGTAAGGTATAGGGAAATATCAATGCTTCAATATAACACCACGGTATAGAGATAAAATATCTTGTATAAGGCGGTATTAGGGTATTAGGCAATATACCCTGGTATTGTATTAGGTACCTAATGCCTTGACTTATGCATAACCACACAACAGCTTGCATAAAAGCGCATAAAAGGGGGGGGGGGGGCAGTGCAAGCGTCACCGACAAAATCCTTGCGCCATTGACTGTCATTTCTGCGCATTATTTGTGAAAGTCATCCAAAAAAGCGCGCGCCTGTTTTAGATCTATTTTTATAAGATATTTAATTGTTTGCCATTCATTGAATATTGACAACTGACACCAATAAGCACGGGTGCGATCCTTATCTTATTTGAGGTAAAGCATTTTTGAAAAATATATTTATTGAATGCAGCAACGATTTGCGGCATCATCCATTTTCGGACGGCACCAGATATACTTACTTATACTTATACTTATAAAATGCGGAATTTAGGAAGGCCTTTTGGCCTCTTGGATCCGGACGTGACGAGCTTTGTGTCAGTGTGTCACTGCATCAGTCGTTGGAATGTATGGTGTACTTGGCGTGAGCCCAGTGTTCGTCAAGCCTGGCCTTGAAGCTATTGACTGAGGGCGCATCGACGACAGCGGATGGCAGAGAGTTCCAGTCGTTCAGGACTCGTATGCTGAAGGCGTTCCGCCGCACTCTGGAGACAGCCCTTGGCTTGGACAGCTTCCACTCATGCCCTCGAGTTCTGGTCGTCGTCGCCGCAGTGAAGAACTGAGATGGGTCAACATCCACTCCCCGTCGAAGCACCTGGTAAACCGAGATCATGTCGCCTCGTCGGCGCCGATAGTAGAGCGATGGCAAATTCAGGCTCCGGAGTCTCTCCTTGTATGGCAGGTGGCGGATGCTGGCAACCAGTCTCGTGGCCCGTCGCTGTACCCGTTCAATGCGTTTCTGGTCTTCTCGGTTGAAGGGTCCCCAGACCGCGTTGGCGTATTCGAGATGGGGGCGAACCATGGTCCGGAAGAGTGTTGGAAGCGTAGTCTCATCAATTACTCCGAAAGATCGACGAATGACTGTCAGAATGTGTGACGCTTTGGCCACGACTGCGGCAGCCTGTTCCCGGAACTTGAGCTGGTGGTCTATCTTGACCCCCAGGTCCTTTTCCACCAACGTCTGCTCTAACATAGTGTCTCCCATACGGTACAGGTGATTGGCGTTTCGAGGACCTAGGTGAAGAGACTTGCACTTCGACTGATTAAAAGGAAGTTGCCATTTCTCAGACCATCCGAGCAGGGCATCGAGGTCTCGTTGCAAAGCCTCCGACTCTGAAGCCTGGCCGACACTTCTGTACAGCTTCGTGTCGTCTGCGAATAACTTTAGCCCTGACGAGACACAAGCGGGCAGGTCATTGACAAAGACCAGGAACAGCAACGGGCCCAGGACCGTTCCCTGTGGTACGCCACTGGTGACAGGAACCCAGTCTGACTTTGCCCCATTTATCGACACACGCTGCTGTCGGTCAGTCAAGAAGGCCCTTATCCATTCGAGCAGCCGACCCCTAATGCCGCAGGATTGGAGCTTCAATAACAGGCGCTGGTGAGGCACAGAATTAAACGCCTTACTAAAGTCCAGGTAAAGGGCATCCACAGGGTCACCTTCCTCCAGTGCACGGGTCCAGTCTTCGACAGTTTCGAGAAGCTGAGTGGAGCACGACCTCTTCTGTCTGAAGCCATGTTGCAGGTTGCTCAGCTGTTCCGTCTCGATCAAGTAGGACATCATCTGGTCACGGACCAATGACTCGAGGACCTTGCATGGGACGGCTGTCAGCGTCACTGGTCGGTAGTTTGCAGGGCTGTCCTTCACTCCCTTCTTGAAGATAGGGATGATTTCATCGTTGCGCCAGTCACTTGGTAAGGAGGAGTTGTCCAGAGAAGAACGAAAGAGACGCGCCCATGGCTCTGCCATAACCAAGGCCGTTTCCCGAAGGATGCGCGGGTGGAGTCCGTCTGGTCCCGGTGAGCTGTCTATCTTGAGTTTCAGCAACTTCTCCCTGACCGCGCCAGTGCTGATGTCAATGTTGTCCAGCGGGGGGCCAGGGTAAACAGGTGGTGGTGCTGGCAGGACGGGGTCCTCGACCGTAAATACACTCTGGAAGAAGTGATTGAGCAAGTTGGCTTTGTCGCGGTCCTCCCGAACCATCGTCCCGTCTTCAGCCTTCAAGTCCTCCACTCTTGTCTTGGTCCGCAGTCGAGTGCCTGCATACCGCCAGAAACCTTTGGCGTTCGTACGCAGATTCCTCACCAGATGTCTTTCGAAGTTCGCCCGAAGACTCCGAGTGAGTGACCGAAGCTTGTTGCGTACACGGCTGAAGCGGGCGTAATCAAGCATATCTCTGGTTCGCATGTACTGTAACCACAATGTCCGTTTTTGCTTCTTTAGCCGAATGGCTTCGTGGTTGATGTAGATATTCTTATTATTTTGTTTGGACTTGGCAAGGGGTATACAAGTGGTCGAGTGCTCGGACAGTTTGGCCTTGATAAAAAGGTACATAGCATGTGTGTCCTGTGAAGTACTTGTTGGCCACTCTACATCAGACATGAGTTGGTTTAAGAGTGTGTAGTTGCCCTTGCTGAGATTGAGGTGTGGCTCCAATGGCTCAGTGGGAGGACAGTAGCATTCCACTTGGAACTGAAGCATGATATGGTCACTTGTGCCCAGGCCAGGCAAGTATTCCAGGTTCTTAACCATCGCCTCTTCAGAAGACAATATTAGATCAAGGGTATGAGGTGTTTCGCCAAGTCTAAATCTGGTAGGTCTGTCAACATGCTGGTACAGAAATGAGTCGTTCAACAGGTCAACAAACCCATGTGAACAGTGTGAGGGAGGTGCTGAAGAAAGACCCACTTGCCAGTTGATTTGCGGCAGATTGAAATCACCTCCAATAACCACATGTGTGTATCTAGAGTTGGTAGCCTGCTTGAATAGAGATCCAATCTTGTTAAGATCTTCTTCGGCAGAACCAGAGGGGCTTCGATAAATACAGCCAAGTAGAAGGACATCAGAGCTAGCCAGCGGCATCTCTATCCAAAGCTGCTCTCTGAATGTTGAATCCTTAAAAACAACTTCAGATACCCGGAGTGATGATTTGGCATAAATGCAGACCCCTCTAATACCACTTGAACCCAGCTTGGTTTCCGAGGGGTCGAAGTTCAGGTACATGACGTAGCCAGGTACAGACAAAAGGGCTGGGGATATTGGGTGAAGTTGGGCTTTAGGTATGACTTCATTAAGCAAGATGAAGTCTGGTTCATTTCCCGAAATAAACATGCAAAGGTCATCACGTTTCTTCACAAACTGGTCTGCATTTGCATACAGTACCTTGAGACCTTCTTCATATCTTGGTCCTGCCGGCCTGGATTGTCAGCACCTTTCCTGATCCGGGGTCTGGCCCGTCTGGGCCGTCCCTGGGGTTGTCAAGGTCTGCCTCCGAGATGTAGCATGTTGCTGGGGTGCTACAGCACCTTGTGGCCTACCCCGAACAAGTTCAGCTTCCACTGTCCGAGTCAGGTCCAGTTTTCTTGTCACAATCCGACCCTTCCTGATGGTGAGGTTCACTTCACCTGCATCTGTCCTCCTTCGTAGCTCTTCTCGGAGGCGTCTACCCTCTTCCCTCTCTTTCCAGGTAAGGTCAGGTGAAAGGTATACATTTTTCCAGAGATCTGTCGACCGTAGTTGAGGTGCCAGTTTTAGCACATCACTTTTAACCTCAGTGTTTTCAAGTCCCACTATCAACAGTCGTGGCTTCTCCTGACCCGGCTTGCCGACCCTGTATGCCTTTGTTACTCTCACATTGAGATGCATAGCATCCCGGATTACCTCCCTAAACTTTTCTTTGTCTGCTTCCACTCGTTCAGCATACAACTCACTTGTTGGCTCCGGGAGGTTATGCACTACCACATTCAGCTTGCGCTTCTCTTTTTCTAAGAAGTCATCAAAGACACCTGCTATTGCCTTCTCAGTGCAGAGGCTGGTATTCTCCTTCCCTTGGGATGGAATCGCTTCAAACTTTTTGGCTGCTTTTTGCATCACCTCAGCGCTGCCCTTGACGGCCTCTGCGTAGGACGCCCTATCATCCTGGATTTTCTTGAAGGAGTGCTGTAACATTGTCTCCTGATCTCCGATGAGTTTGGCATGAGCACGCATGACCTTCTCCACCTTTTCCATTCGTTCATCTACATGATCTTTCAGCTGTTTGACACCACTCTGTGTCTCACAGTGCTCGTTGTGACTGTTGGCATCAATCTTTGCAAATGCTGTTTGCATGAAATCAATCAATGCATCGAGCTTTGACTCCAGTTTAGAAAGTCTGTTGTCCTCATCACTCTTGCCCTTAGTTTTGAGGCCTTGTTTACAGGCAGAACAATGCCAAGATAACACCTTGTGCTTCACAAGGGCATTGTAGCACTGCTTTGAAATGCCTTGACACTTAGAATGGAACCAGCGATCACACGTGCAGCACTGTACACCCATTTCCCCGTCTTTCACATCAGTGTCACAGATTGGGTTGCTCGGACCACCCTTGCACGAGTTTCTGTCCAAGTTTGGTACATCCGGATCAGGGCTCGTGTTTGAAGACCTTGAGCCCCACAGTTTATAGGCATCACTACTGAGCCTCCTAATTTTGGGAGCCTCATCCTCTGTGGAATCTGTTGCAAGTGAGCTCAGTTGGGGGGCTCGTGCGACAGCACCAGCCACTTCTTTTATTTTATCTGTCTGGTTTTCCTTGGAACCTAGCTCAAATATTCCACACGGTTCAGAAAAAGCACAGTTCCCTGCCTTACCTCCTTCAGCTCCTTCGACAACAAAATCATTCACCTCGTTGCCGCCTCCACGTTTGCCGCCGCCGACCTCCACATTTGCATCCGACGGCGTCGATGGCGTCGCTGGAGATCCATTTGCGATCGTCGAATTGAGTGCATTTTCAGTTGCGGTCCGCTGTGGTTTCGACCTTGGAGGTTGAGGTGACCTCTGGACTAGCATCCTCGCTCATGAAGATAAGCCGACAGGTGAAATTGTGCCGTGGGTACCTAACTTATGTGTGCACTGATTGGGTACTGTGAGAGTGAGAGCTCGATTGGACACGTCCGATCCCCGTGAAAGCGCGAGCCGAAGTGATATGCCAGGATTTCTTTGTTACAACACAGATAAAACAATTCACAGATATGTCGATTGCACGGAAATGAATTTTGATGGGTGAAATGTCTCAAAATGATTGTCAATAATGAAATCAATAGCAAACAATGAAAAGTAAAAAAAATATGAAGAGTATAATACTTCATATGGAAGTCTTGATATGGCAGCAACAATAGGTAGCGAAAACTGCGCAACTGCTTCATATATTTGATCTTGTTTTTTGTTCGAAAAGAGCATTTCACGCTCTCCTAAAGCTCGTTGCTAGGCAATTCCGGTACTGTCATACACTGTCATCTACTGCAGCCCCTAATCGCTGATTGAAAAGAGCAGCGAGAACTGTCTTTGTTGAACACCCTTTCTACTAGTATGGAGTGGTTTGCGGAGTGTGTCACAGCAAAAATTGAGTGATGTCGATGTAGGTGAGTTTGGTTTCAGTGGAAGAAAATATAATACTACTTTTAACATGGAGTTTTGAACTGGAATATCACAAACAGTTTCATAACTTGAGCTCAGACAAGCTCAAGTCGGGAGTTTTTACGGCCCACCCTGACCCAAGGGCCCAAGGCTATGACTGGCCCACTGATCACTCTAGGGAAAGACTATCCATTTCTTGTTCCAAAATCAGTGCCTTAACAGGAATATGGTGCCTTATGGAAGAATGCCAGGGCTCAGTTTGATTGCACAACACTACAGCATGCTAGGTGTGTCAGTGTATGGGGTTTCCATCATCAACAAACTTGGACGCTCGCAACGCTGAAGCATCAAGTAAAATTTTCTTCAGTTATTCTTTTCTTTGTTCATTAATAGGTATTGGTCTTAAAATGTGAATGGTAAGAACTAGTAAGATAGGTAGTTACTCTTGCAGAAATAAGTTATTACTCACAGTCTCAGCAGGGCACTTTGGGTGCAAGCCTGATCATATGGAACATAATATAATCTGTACTTTCTCCGTAGCCAGTATATCAGTTTTCATTTAATTGTGGAGCAAGTTTTGTTTACTTTTCATTTTGACCAACTCAAGGCTGACACTCTTAAAAGCCATGAGTCATGACTTGTGTCTTCTTATCATCATTTCATCCCCACTTTGTCAGGAGTGCTATGCCTGGTTTACCTATACAGCCTGGTGACTTATGTAATGAAAGTGCACATACTTCACAAAAAATGACATTGCAAAGTTAGTGGGATTGATAAGCCATGTACTCTCTGTCAACCAGCAACCTTATGCTAATTTGCTATGAGGTAATCATTGAATCTGTATTCTTAGTTCATAATAGCTTGGATTTGGCCATTTGGTGACATTGATGTATTCCTCTTTGACAGGGAGATTTCTTCTCAGAAGGCAACACAGCTTGCATCTAAATAGTGATTTGACATACAAGAAAAGGATTTGGATGTTTTATTAGGTCGACATTATAAGAACAATAAAATCGTCACATTAGCATTGTGAAATGTCCAAGCTGTTTCTAAATACCACCATATCCCACCTCTGTTCCTCCATTTTATCCTCTTTCAAACCCCTCGGACCATTCTCACATGCAGCAGCATCATTGCATGTGCATTCCTGTCCAGTACTGCATCACAGGCTATCAGCAAACATTTTCCCTGCGCCGCGGATCCAGTCGCTAGCCCCTCCCTCCGTGACGCGAAGTCTGCAGACGGCGCGGAGCGGCAGCTCGCGGCGTGAGGAGCGCTGGCGCAGAAGGGACCGCATTCCGTCCGAGTTCCGGCTGGTGTATGTCGCTCCCAACGAGCGGTGGATGCGCGCCGCGGCGCTGGCCGTGGCCTCTCCGCTGCTGGTGGCCGTGCCGGCCGCGGCGCTGCGGCCGGCCTCGGTGCTGCTGGCCGCCGAGTGGCAGGTGCTGCTGGGCGGCGGGCTGTACGGCCTGCTGGCTGCCGCCGTGCTCCTGCTGACCTGGCGGTACCCGTTCCGGATGTACCACAGCGCGGCGCGGCGTCAGTTTCGTGCCGTGCTCACCGGACCGCTGCTGCTCAACTCGCGGCAGCTCAGCCTGCCGGAGGGCTCGGTGAGCCGCGTGCGCAGCGTCTCCAACATGATGCCGTGGATGGACTCCCTCTATAAGAGCCAGCAAGGCAAGCTGGTGCTGCTGGACACGGGGTTCCAGTCGGCCGAGATGTTCAACAGGCTGCTCGGGCATCACGTGGACGAGGATGGTGACAGCGGAGGTAGTGCATAAATGGTGCGTGGACAGTAGAGTTGCAAAGTTTTCCCCAAAGGCTGCTACCGGCACCGCCCCGCCCCACAAAAATTTTCTGGGATACCGGCATGCTACCACGCCCCAAGCAAAAACACCGCACAAATTACCGGCACCATAAAAAACCTGCATTCTTGATATGCCATATTTGGGCAGTTTCAGTACCCGTCCCACCCAGCAGCCATCCATTGTCCAATCACAACTACCAGCAGACTGATTTTGGCTGAGTTGGCCCCACAAATATCCACAATTTTGAAACTCAATTCCAGTCTATAACTGTTCAAATATCACCTGTAATCAAAGAGGTATTGCAAAAAAATCTAACACATTCATGAAAAAAAAAACAAGGACAAAAAGCACTTGAGTTACTGAAATGTGTTTCTGAAGACTGGGCAGTGAGCAGTAATCATATTTACATTTCATAGGTGTTCTACTTTTCCACATTCTCCTGAAATGTTGCAGGCACCAGCCAAATGTTTAAAATCTAGATGGTCAAAACATAAACAAGTAGGTACAGATTCGGCCATGTTCCTAACTGAGAAAGCCAGTTCAACATCTACTTTTTTAACAATTATAATTATAACCAAGCCTGTGAAATGCTGAGGTCCATGTATTACCCCTACCCTTAGCAATGGAACTTCTACCACAAAATGTATCTTGCAGTGGCTTATATTGCTGCTATTACAATTTGAGAGCCTCTTAGTGTCCAAAGTTTGAATCATATGCTGATAATTTTTATTTTGCACAAAATCAAAAATATCGGCATGCTACCGGCAAGACATGCCATATACCACGAAAAAACCTGCGGTAGTGAAAAATTACCGGCATGCCGGTAGTGCGGTAGGGAAATTTTGCAACTCTAGTGGACAGCGACTGGCAGACTATTTGAATCGCGAAATATTGTTATGATTTGCACATTTGCTGTGGCAGCATGTTTCGAATAAATAGGGTATGCTTACCAGCTTTTACCAAAATGTGGTTAGGTGCCTTAGATTTGTTGGAAATAACTGTTATGGTATGCCGCTCGAAGATATTAGGTGCCAAGTTATGCCTGACAAAGTAATTTTAGTTAAGCCAGTTAAGTCGATAAACCATATGAGAATGGAAAAGCGTCGCCCGTATGAATAATTCATGATTGCCGTGGGCCAGGACAAGAATGAACCGAGGATCAAAATGAGAAACATGTACCCGAAATAAATGACATAGGTATGAGTATGACGAAAGAAATAGGTCGTGTTGGGTTATTGGTGGTGGACATGAAAAAGATGCCGATGATGAACTTACGGCCTTCGGTCTCGTCAGTTTGGATTTGTTACAAACACTTTATGGTCTTCCTCAGGAATCAGAATGGCGGACCAGGACCGCATGGTCTAGCCGTCTGGCCGATCTACATGAAGCAGAGGCCTCTTTCAGTATTTTACCACGCAAACATTCATTGGTCGATCCAGGGAGAGAGGGGCATTTAGACACAGGTTACCACCCTCACCCATCGCATCGCCCTAAAATAGACAAAAATAATGAAAGGAAACTAGCGATGCTTTCTACAGAAAGTCTGCTTTGTTCCGCCGAATGGTGCATAAAGAAACGAAATCTGTCTCCGATAAGCTTTTTTTTTAGGAAGTTCTTTGAGCCTTCGAGCCGTGCACCCCACCCCCCGAAGCGTCGACTCGAGACCGGCTTTCTGAATCAGCCTGTGCAAAGAGACCTGCTCCCGGGTAGCTATCCATGTCAGATACAAAATGACCGTCCTGCCCGGGACAGTTGTTTATAGAAATAAAGGAAAAGGATTTTACTGTTCTGAGGCTGAATAATGGCGGGACGATCTAGCTGCGGTTTCCGTGATTTCATTTCGTTTTTAAATTTAGCAGCAGTTTACTAGCAATCGTGCGCCTTAAACAACGCAGCAAAGACAAAATAACTTGTTCAAAAGCGTCATGAGTTTGTTGTGAAAATGCAAAATAAGCTACATTTGACATCTAACTGGTGAAAGTTCTTCCAGCAGCGAAAACATGTTATATTCTGAACACTTTACACTGCTTAGCCTTTTTTGGCATAAGAGCTGGATCCCGGATGGCGGCGAGATAATTAATAAATTGAAATGGTGATTTGTGTAAGTATTGTGTCACCCTTATATACCTTGTATTGTGTATGGTGTTGTGTGGGTCTATCGACCTTTCTCCGCTACATTTTTATCTTCCCTTCCATTCCCTTCGATGAATGAAGGTTTCCTTATCATTGACAATTGGGTAAAATTTAAAATTCAATTTTACCTGAAGTATTGCAATCAAATTTTCAGTCAATATCAATATTTGAAATCTGTTCAAATATTTCAATTTGGGATGGTGGTCATGGACACTGGACAGTAGGTAGTAGTTCAATATTTAATTCATTTTCTGTCTTTCTAGCAGGAATTAAGAAGTCATGAAGGTTGCTGTGAAAACTGAAGAGGTTGGACCTTCTGAAGAGAATACAATAGAAACTGTTGACAGCAAAACTGGGCTCAGTACTATTTTTAAGAATCCAGATTTTAAGGTAAGATAGAATAAGTTGAAATAATTTGAAGGTGACAGAGATCTTCGACCATAAACAAACTCGGGTGGGGGAGGTGTTTTTGTGACATCAACTTACATTGTTGGTTTCATGAGGAGAGCTGCAATCTTTCCAAGTTGCACAAGAACCCAGTTTACCCTGGCCCAGACTGGAAAAAATACACGTTATGCCAAATATGTCCAGCATAGTAGCGGGATTGCACTGAAAATTTCAGCTCACGTCTGACGTAACTTCGCATGCGTCAATTCAGCGCACGGTGGTTGCTGAATTTTCGGTGCAGGGTGGCTGCAAAATTCTTTAGCGAAAGATGGTCACCAAATTTAGTCGGGATTGCTGGTCAATCTAGCAGCAGATTTGCCCTGCGGGCAGCTCTGGAAAGATTTCGGGATGAGACGTCCCCGCCCCGGTCGTCGTGTAGGTACTCCAATTGGTGAGTGGCGAGCCACACTGAGTCTATGCTCAGCGGTGGAGCGGCCGCCCAGGTGAGGCCTCAACCCTCGGCGTAGAGATAGGTATGGAAGAGTGAAGACCTTGTTGAACATCGCCGAGCGTCGTTATGGAAGGGAATGAGAGTACGGATGACCTGGCGAAACGAGATCCGGCGAAACGAGCGGCCGCCCTGCCTTCAAACGCCCGCTCGCTGACCAGGGCGGTTCATTGTGCGGTCTCGCATCAATGATCAATGGCGCGACAAGTGGTCCGAGTCACTAATCAAGTCACTTCTCGGGAGTAAGCCGCCGCTCACTATCCCTGGAGAGGACCGAGAGGACGCCGTTTTGGTGCACCAGATGAGGGCGGGCCACTGGGGCCGCTCGCTCCAGTACGTGCACCGAATCGGCTGTCTCCACTCCGCGGCGTGCCAGCAGTGCCCAGACAAGCGGTGCCACGCGGCACTCTGTGCTGTGTGCCTAAAAGAGGCTGATGTGCCGGAGCACGTGCTGCTCCGCTGCCCGGCCCTCGCTGGCTCCCGCCAGCCTCGAACATAGTGCTCCGCCGATTGTTATGGCCCTGGAACTTCCGTCTTCGTTTCGCGACACGACGCTAGTGCGCTAAGCATATTGAGGTATTGGGTTTCCGTGAAAAAAAACTTATTCGGACGCTCAAACATGGGAGAGCGTCCAAGGCTCCGGAACGGAACCCTCTGTCTGGTTGATATAGCCTTGATTGGTAGACGAGCACATGTGCTTTGTATAAGTGGCTTAATTTTGGCACAATAGGCACCCAATTCTCGGCGCAAATCATGCAGAAATTTCAACGCAAAATCGCTTGCGCCGAATTTCGGCGCAAGAGCGTCTCACCGGCGTCCGGCGTAGTGTATGGATGTTTTCCAGTCTGGACCCTGGCACCCTGTTGGACAGCATTGAGTGAATGGTGTGATACAACTGTTTTTGTGTGATAGATAAATTATATAGTCTTTTTATTACAGCACTCTGGGAAGACTGCAAACAAGAAGCGGGCTTGGCGTCCTCTGAAGCAGCTTATTAGCATCGAAAAAAGCCTGCCTTATCCAGAACAGGCTGTTACGTGTAAGTAACCGCGCATTTTTTTTTTTAGCGGATTAAAAAAATATCCCTTGTTGAGTCTCAGGTTGTCTAATTATATTTTACATAAAAGCTTATAAATATTATCACAGTTTGTGTGGTCTCCACTGATGTGGAATGGTTTCCAGGTATATTGGGTCATGATTGTCTGCTCATGAAGTGTCTCTTTCCACAGACTGGAGCATTGAGGCTCCACCATCATTTCTTCCTCCGAAGAAGTATTCGGACATCTCAGGCCTACCGGTGAGTACCTACCTACTTTTTATTTTTCATCTACTCATACCTTGCCTATTGTAAAGGGCAATTTGTAGAATAACTGTTTGCATGCTTTTGTTTCAGTAAGAGCATGATTTATCTTCAGTGTTGGGAGCTGATTCATTTTTTTTGTGATCGGATAATGCGCAGATTTCCACGCTAGGTGCAATGTTTTGCCAACAGCTTTGCAATATTACAACCTGAACAACAAACGTTTACCTTTTACATAAATAAACGCATTATAGCTCTTGTGGAAATAAGCTCTCAGTTCACTGAACAGTTCCTAAAGCAGAATTCATTAGCATAGGTTTTGTACAGATTGGCGTCAAAAGAGAGCAAAACACATCGGTTCGCGTCTCTCCATTCCAGGCAAAGTACACAGACCCCCACACAAAGCTACGGTACGCCAGTGCAGAGGAGTACAAAATCATCCAAAGCCTACCGGGCGACATCGTAGCCGGCTACCTGGCTCTACGCAAGGCGTTCAACCCCGTCGGTTGACATGGCTCGCGTCTTCGTGACGGTGGGGACAACGGAGTTCGACAAACTCGTGCGAACAGTGACATCTACCGACGTGTTGAGCACTCTCAGTTCGCGCGGCTATCGCGAGATGGTGCTGCAGATCGGTGCTGGGAAGACTGAGCCTCCCACGGGCACCTTCGAGGGAGTCGCGGTCCGCTGGTTTCGCTCCAAGCCGAGCATTGCCGAAGACATGGCGTCCGCTGACCTTGTGATCGGTCACGCTGGGGCGGGGACGTGTCTGGAGGCGCTGCGGGCCGGCCGGCCGCTGGTGGTGGTCACCAACACGACCCTCATGGACAACCACCAGGCCGAGCTGGCCGGCCGGCTGGCCGCCGACGGACACCTGCTGCACTGCGTCTGTGAGACGCTCAGAGACACACTGGCCGGGATGGAGCTGTCTCAGCTGCGGCCGCTGCCGCCGGCCGACCCGACACCGTTCGCCGAGCACCTGGAGCGGAGACTGGGGCTGAGGTGATGATGAGACGGACTCGAGTGGTAATGGAAAGTAGTCTGAGAGAAGTCAGCTCTGTGTGAACGCCTCTGAAAGCGATTCAGCCTTACTGTAAGTCTGAGCGACGCATACCGTGATTGAGACGAAAATGCATACTATTGACTACAAGCTGTCCCGGACTAGTTTTCAGCCATGGATTCTGGAACCCCTCTGAGACAAAGTGACGTTCGCCCCAGGCGGGCCCCGTCACCGTCCACCAGCGTCCGCCGCCGCCGACCGCCGACACGCAGGGCGTCACGCTCGACACAATCAATAAACAGGTGCGCGTGTCGCGTGTTTTGTGCCGTCAGCGCGGCCGTGCGGCGGCGGCGGACGGCGCGGGGCCGGTGTCGGTGTCGGCGCCCGTCCGGGGGTGGGCTCGACGTGTTTATCCAGGCGTGGCTCGGTCGCGGGCTGTGGGACGGACGTGCACCAGGCGCCGCCTGCCACCCGCCGCGCCGCGGCGGCTCGCATGCCGGCGCCGATCCGGCCGCACGCCGTGTGCTGCTCTGTGAGCTGCCGCCGCCCGAGACGGGGTCATGATGGGGCCTGGGCGGGGCCGCTGCCGCCCGTGACCGCCTCCTGGGTGCCGCGGCGGCTGGCACGGCCGCCGGCGCGGTGATGGGTGGGGCAGCGAGTGCCGTGACGGACAGCCGACTGGCCGTGATGTACGGGCGTCACGCGGCCGACCAGTGACGTGACTGAGTGGCCCCGGAGAGACGGGAGGGGCTCTGTGGAGGGTGAAGCCGTCTGTGATGAATTGGAGAGGACTCCCCGGTGTGTCGAGTGATCTCTGTTTATGGCGTGTGGTGCATTTTCCACGCGGGTTTGTGATGCGTGGGGTGTCGTATTAGAAAAGCGTTGAAAGCTCAGCTCTATCGAGATCCATTGCCATTCTCTGATCGCCCGGTTCATTGATCCACTCTTTCTTTCTCAAAGGCGTCTCCCGACATATTACCACAAGTCTCCAGTTCCACTCTAACCTGACCGGTCCAACTGTCGGTGTCAGAACGTCCGTTGACATGTTTTTAGTAACACCGCTTTATTTTAGTAACACCGCTTTCCTAACAGTATTGGCTGACGAATGGTGATTGATACACTGTGACTCGTTTTTGAAGAGGCTGTCTGTGTTTGCGGGCGTTGGCCCTCACACCAGCTTCAGGACGGTATTCTTGGCTGACCTCCCCTGACGCCTAAAGAAGGCCAGTTTTTGTGAGCTGTTGGGCTTGTCAGGAGTCATGTTTTGTGCACGTCTTGATGTAAACAATATAAGTCTGAACAAGGGATCCAGCTTGGACTGTCTGTGCTGAAACTCCGTGACGTGTTTAGTTTAAGCCTGCTGTAATAGGGCCAACGGAATTGTTTGGATGGAACGCAGCCATTCTGGCTTTCACCACTGCAGGAAACGGGCGTTTTTACCGACACCATTGCTGAAACGGCTCGCGTGATTTGGTGTGGTATATCTTTTCCAAAATTTCCCTCGTCATCTATGATTTACTAGCTAGCGACATCGATGAAACTCCACTCAAACTGTTCTGCTTTTATTCAAGGTGGCGGTGATTCAAACTTCACCTCTGACTCTTTTGTTAGGACGGCGGCTCTGACAGGCTACTCGCTGCGGGCGTGCTGGATCGAGTGTGGTCCCGAGAGGGCCCTGTCCAAACGAGCATGCCACGTCGTGAGGCCCTTCTAACGGGGACCTAACCCGACGAATTTACCACTGGACCTGAGCCGACATCAATATTTGGGCGATTAACCGTGCGTCCGCTAACAGCGACACAGTTAGCGGGCCGGTCAGTGGAGCTACTTTACTTTTAGTCATAACAGAGACGAATCATGTGTCAAACTCTGGCCCAGATGACCGATTTGACCCTAAATTTGAAAGGTTCCGAGGGTGTTGATGCATTCTCTTGGATTTGTTTGCCGTGATGTAAACACGTGTTAGTACCTATGCAGGTTACAAATAACAAGAAGACAAATACAATGCATTTTGTCCTGTCTTTACCTACCAATGCAATACACACGTGTTTTATCTCATAGTGTCTACCGACCTTTAGTGGCATCTTCATGCGATCGAACTGTCAGGGGTAGGACATTGTAGGTATTGGGTACAATATTGTCAATATTTGAAGGGCGCGCAAACTACACAGTCGCCGAAGTGTCTGCTTCCCCACTCGCATGATTGTGGTGCTGTGATCGTTCTCAATTTATTCGGGTGTGTCATTTTCTCTTCCATTCCTCTGTGTTCAAATGCCTCCCGAACTGATGGATGCGGCTTGCTCTCGTCTCGTCCTGCCCCGGGAGCAGCCGTAATATAAGTGCGCGAATCTCTCGCTAGGTGGCACCATGATCTGCGCCTGAAATGATGCTGTACCGTAAGGCCCTATTTTTCACTCGGCGAGGAATCTCTTTCCTCTTGGCAGGCTTTTGACGATAATTTTAAGATGCCGCGTACACCGGCAATGGAGTTTGCATATATTTTCTGGTATATGATTGAAATCACACGAGAAAATGTTGTCAAAGACGTAACGCAATATGTCGAGTTGATCGTCATGCCGAGTGCCAGTAGCAGGTGCTTAGGTACCCAACATGTGACGTCGGTAATTATTAATTAAACTATAAAAGCATCGTCAAACAGTCTACAAAATTGCAATTGATTTTCTTGAGGGTTGTGTTTTCAATTTTCATGCTAGCCTACCTTAGCCTTAGGTTATCATTTCTCAACTCCTCAAAAACTTTTCGTTCAGATAGTTGGCAAACTCAGACAGAAACGCTCTCCCGCGAACTGATTATTCATTCACGCTCTTCCCTGCTCCCGTCGGCAGTCGGCCTACATATCCGACAGACGTTGCGTGCAGGTCCCAATGAAGCCCTCGGCTGGTGGCGCTGTGCGCTGTGTCCTGCAGCACGTGCCTGCAGAGCACGGGCTGGTCTGCCGGACGGCTGGCTGGCTGGCTGCTCCATTTGTACGGTCGTGGTCGTGGCGTGCTGCCGGGCCGGTCACGTGCTGTGCCGTGCTGTGACCGCGCCGTGGTGGTGTGGGCCGTGCTGGTGGCACATCTACGCTCGCCGTCAGGAGCGCACAGTGTCCCTCTGGTTTACCAGACCTGCCTTCTGCGGCGGAGTAGATGAATCGGAGAGCTTCCAGGTGTTCTTAAGCATCATCATTGGTCATCATTCTGTCAGGAGATCGCAATATTGGCTCTCATCAGTCGTCACAAAACTTAAGATAGTCTGGTTTTGATCCCAATGGAGTTGTGGGTGATCTATTCTATTACGGACATTATTGAGTCGAATTAGGTCTATTTTGCAAATTAAAAGATCTTTCATCCATAAAGATTCGTACGTAACTTCAGCGGAAGTGTCACATACTTTGTTTATAACCTAACTGTAAATGAAAATCCACGTTATGTCTAATCATACCCAATTGTCCATCCCTCTCGGGCCGGCTTGGGCAGACGTAGAGACCGGCAGGCCGATAATTGATCCGTACCGGGCGGTCCTCCGGGCGTGGGCCAGCCACCGGGTCCGACCAGGCCGGCCTACCTCTATAACCGTGTCCGTGGTGCACCGCGGCGCTCTGGTGCGGACCGTCCCCAGTGCACTGAGCCGCCGCGCCAGTCAGCAGACGGCGCGATATGAATATCGGAAAACTAGTCGGCGGCGGCCGAACTACCGTACGCAGATGGGCGGCCGATTTGAGAATGATTGCTAGGTCGTTCGGACGCGATAAAATAAGGGACTTCTGGCGCAAAGTGAAAAGCTGAATGCTTTGATCCAGGTAAAGCGTTTTATATTGTGATGAATGACATAGTGGAACGCTTTCTTACATTTCTTTTGGACCTGGTCGCACGATAGCGTGTTTCACCTAATTTGTCTCATGATGGGCGAAATCGCACTTGTCGAGTTCATCGTGATTGTCTTCGAAAAGCTATTAACTTGGTCTTTGAAGTAGGAGATTTCATTAGCTGCTAATAGCTTGCTCATTTTCGGTCTGTTCCCCAGAGTTCCACATAGCTAGGTACCAATTGCGGAAGTCGGAACATCCACTGTTGAAACTAAGAGACCACTTTCTCGATAAAAGATTTCTATTCAAAACGTGTGTGACAAACTACAGGGTTCGAAACTTGCGAATGCTGAGTTCAATAGAGCTGAATAACATTGTAAAAACACATCACATTCAGACTGTCTAAAAATTTACAAGGTTTATAACAAGGTCATGTCTCCCTGCCCTGTCTTCAGCACGGGGCCTCAAGGGTCCGACCGTGCAACTGCTAACGATCATCATAACCCGATGATTTGTGTGGGTGTCCGGATCCCCTGATCGTTATTGGCGCTTAACGCGCCTGCATAGTCTGTGATGATACGTGCATAAACATGGGGTCTCGACATGGTAACCGGCGTTGCTATCGTCACGTTTAACGACATTGCAACGGGCAGGATCACCAACAAGGTCAACATTGGAGCGCGGCGACTCGGGCGTGGTCACAGGCCACAGGAGACTGGACACTGACCCCTCACCGCTACGTGCACTCTATGGATAGGTACAACACTGGCGAGTCGGGTCATCATCGGGCGCTTACAGGAACGGTACAACAGTTCGGTGAGGCCACTGGGTCGAGGTCAGGCGCGTGCTGGATATCTGAGGTCGAACGGGGTACACCTGGACCGGGGGCGCGTGACTAACCGTCCCTCTCCGGCCTCCATCCTCCTCTGCGGGCCTGCATCGCACCGTGTTTGTTCATAACATTGTGACCAAGGCGGCTTAATGCTACATCGCTTGCCCCTCTTCACCCCTTTACCTCACTGACCCTCCGTTAATAGTTCCACCTACTCTCCCCCGTCATCTCGTCACTGGGCGCTCCAAACTCTACCTGCGTCCCTGAATATCACTCTATACTCTACTTTCCCCCTCGCTACTCTCCAAACGCCTTGTCTGTCCCATCGGGCGAATCCCGCATGCCGAACTGGGCGTACATCTTGAACAGAAGACGACACGTGGAAATCATCACAACCACCAGAACGGCCGTCAGGACGCCCACCTTCACCATGCCCAGGTCATTGCCCTCGTCGGCGCCGACGTCCGGACACGTGCCGTTCGTCGACGTCACGTTGAAGAGGTCGTCGGTGACGATGCCGGCCGCGCTGCCGAGGTCGATGTCTGTGTCGTTGCCGGAGATGGTGCAGTTGATGGCACGTCCGTGCGCCCGGCTCAGAAGAGCGGCGGCCAGCGCGAGCGGCGCCAGAGGCTCCATGGTGCCCCGGTTAGGCCGGTGTGGAGATAAACATGACGAGCGACGGACAAGTGGAGCGGTGACGGGTCCCGCAACGACCGCGGTTCGGTCGACTGGAATACCGCTGAAGAACAGCCTCCGGTGGCAGCCGAGGAGGCACCGGTAAATTTTGGAGCAGCAGCTCACGATCGTCTGTGAAAGAAAGGAGACTCATGTAAATGGTATGTTCTTCGTTTGATGTTCGTGGAGATTACAATGCTACCACATGTTAGTTCGTTGCGTTAGATCGAAACCGTACATACATATGTAGTTGCTGCCAATTTGTTACTAGTTTGATTTGATGATATGACTTGTTTGAATCCCTTATATTGTTGAGTGATAACTAGAAAAAATAAACGAAATGAAGCCACCTCGCTCATCGATGTTGTCAAATTCGGGTATAAACATGCATAAGGCACGACGCTGATGTAATCTGAATCAAACGAAATATACTTATTAACAAAGTTTTCATCGGAAGTTTCCTCAGGGTGTCCAAATCATCGAGACAGTGCCGTTTTACTGTCAGTGGGCCGTATAATCCGACGGAGGTAGTGTTATAAACTGGCAATCTTGGTTCGATCGGCGCGAATTAGGTCGGCTTCTGTGACGATGACGACGGTCCTTGGTATTATATCGGAAAAATGTCGCCAAGCTGACGGGGAAGGGTGATTATTGGCCGGCGTCAAATCCAGGAACCACCCTACGGTGAGTTTCAGCAACAGACGTCGTTTCTTCTTGTGAAGTATGAATGTCATGCTACCTTTAGGCCAGAATATACGCAGGTGGTCGCTGGTTTATGAAGCCCGACTGCAGCTGCTTCTGATGCTGAGCTGGGGTTTTCTGACCGCGTGCGGGGAATAATTTATAAAACAAGGTGAACCGGCTATCGTAGTTGTTATTCCTACGAAAGGTCATCTATAGACAACGCATCCATTTATCATTGGCGTCCGGACAAGTGTTCTTGGAACATTCTGTATATGCTGAATCCTGGGGGCGTGATGCATTCACATTTCATTTCACACAGCCCATCTTGTGAACGGTCTATAAATCACAAAACGCTGTTTCTTCGAGCGAGCATTGATGAATAGCATCCAAATTTACATTTTCCTCCAGTCAAAGCGCTGATGGTGATCGGTAGTTTGCACCCAAGTTCGAATAATGTGATCGAGACGGAAGCTCTAACCACCGCTTCATGGTACTCAGGTGGTAATTATTTTGCCATTTCGTCGCTGATGTGACCTCTCACGACCAGTCATTATCCCACGACCAGGTCAATAGTCATTCAGACAAATCAATGGCCCCCTGAATCGTGCTATCCTGAAGCACGTTGATTAGACAGAGCACTTCCAAAAACTTGCCGGAACTACTTGTAGGTAGGCTCAATACCATGAAGGGTATGGGTCATTCTCAGCTATTTTCATTACTGGAGTGTCGATAACGTTAAGAAATGTGTCGCTTGAAGTTAGAACGTAGCTTGCAGTATAATAACCTTCATACGAACCTTCACCATAATAACCTTCAATCCTACCAACATGACCTACCAAGAGGAAACTAGGCTCAGCCCATAACAATAACAACCATTCTAAGCTGTCGTCCCTTGCCCGTGACCATGTCTAGGACGGGCGCAGCATAGGCCGCGCTATGCCGCTGGGTAAGTAGGGGCTCGGCGCTTTGCCCCCCGGTCGGAATTCGTCACCGCCGCTGCCAAGTTTGACAAATCACTCAGAGGATATCGGCGCGGTGACAGCCGGGACGGGTGGAGACGGGCGGCGTGGGCGCGGCGCCCGGCCCAGAGAGAGACGTGTGACGGGAGAGACTGGGAAATGTGACGGTAGAGACGGGAAAGAGAGGAGAAGGGACAGGAGAGACGGGAAAGACAGAAGAAGAGACGTCGGGGACGTCTGACGAACGAGAGATGCTGCAGTGAGGACGGGAGAAACGTGGAGATATGACAATGGGACGGGGTCTGACGGGTGGGACAGGGATTTGTGACGGGCGAGACGGAAAATGTGACGGCCTAGACGTGAGATATAACCGATGAGACGTGAGATGAGAGTGCCTTTCAGGTGTCGCCGATTTAAAATCGGAAACGTGCGATCAGTGGCCGCTTAACCCTATTCCTGGCGGGGGGGGGGGGCCTTTAAGGCCCCCCTTCAGGTTTTTCTTGTGCCATTGCCAAACGCCGCAAGACTGAAAGCTCATACTCGGTGACTTTTTCTAAACATTCATTGCGCACATTTTGACAAAAAAAGTTGCCGGGTCAGGTCAGGTCAGGTCACCAGAGGCGGTTTGGTGACCCCACCTCAGAGAAGTTTGCAATCACGCCAGAGCTAGAGTTTTTGACCGATCAATTTCTTCTCTTCAGGTTTTAGTTAGGGTACCAGTATGTGCAATTTGTATCTCTCAGAATTTTCATATCTGTGACCTGAGGTCAGGCCAGACTCGTGACCTTTACATTGCAAGCCTATGGGAAGATATTGAAACGCCTCCTGCTTCGTGTAAACGAGAACCACCCAATTCTTTCAGTATTATGGAAGATTATCTCATCGGTGATGATCCTGGTGCCGCTAATTGACAGGGGCACCGGCAAAGGTCATCTGAGGTCATGTGACGTCATAAATCGTTTTTCTGTCAATAAATCACGACATGATGGTGCTAAAGACTTGTAAGTGGTACCAAACTGCTCGCCTGGTCAAGGCGCGTCGTTTGGTATGCAGGATGACTATACCCCACAACCTCATTGATGAATGACCTGACCTTGACCTCAGGTCAAATTTCAAATTTCAAAACCTGTGAAGGTCATCACATACTTATTTCGCATCGCCTCGGCGAGAGCAACAAAAAATGTATTGGTTTCATGTCTCTATGTTTCTTAGTTTAAAAGTTATATAGGTAACTAATTCCAAAACATTTTATCGTTGATGACCTCTGGTGACCTCAATATTGACCTGACCTGAAAATGTTTTATGTAAAAGTTGTAGATCTTTAAACGACCTATCAAATGCCGTTTGCCGTTTGTCGCTGCGATGTGTAGTTTTTGAGATCTGAAGGGGGGGGGGGGGCGAATCGGCCCCCCCCGCCAGTTTCTTGTCCCGGCGGAGCCCGCCAGGAATAGGGTTAAAAACTTAACAAATTGGACTGACGATCTGTTAGTTTAATGACTTTGCACACTGATCAGTAATTTACAATTCCATCCATTTGGTGAGTCTAATTCAACTATCTCAATCGGTTCGCGGGCCGCGGCCATTCATCTGCTGACACCGCGGCGTCATTTAGCGTGGTCGGCCGCCACAGCTGATTAACTGTCACAGTCGCTCTATAAAAACTGACAGTCTCCCTGTCGGGTTATTCAGCTGTCAATGCGCCGGACTGTAGTGATCTGTCTGGGCTGCCGAGCGCACAGCGCTGGCCCCGTGCCACCGCCCCGCTGTCCGCCACCCGCCTGCTGCACGGCACAGGTATCGGCCAGAGATGTTTGTTGCACGGTATCTTGTGCCGGTTCGCAGCATGCCCAGGCGGGGTGCACCACGCGCGTTGCTGGCGTTGGCTCGGACCATGTTTGATTTGCGAACTCGGTCTGTTGCTCCTACCGACCCAGAGTCGCGCTGCGCGGCGGGCGGGCGCTCAGTTTACCGACTTCAGTGTCGGGGGACTTCAGTGTCGGGGGACTTTGGTGCAAGTTTTTTGGTGTTCAAAGGATGTACAAAAGTGCTGGTGATTTCGGAACTTACATCTAATGGTAAATTTCAGGGGGTTGAGGAACCATGACGTTGCGCCCAGTATGAAATCCATGTGTGTGAGATGGTGCTATCAAGGTTGGAGTTCCCAGGTGAAACTACTGACTCCCTTAGATCCCCGACGACACTGAAAGTCTCCAGAAATGTTGACGTAGTGCGACGCTCATACTGCTAGGATGGCCCTTTGCTTCCAGCGCTGCGCTGGATTTAGACACACCCGGTCCATTTCATGCGTATCTACGACTACGTTGTGTCCAAAATAGTCGACTGTCGACAGATCACGTTAAGCCAGCGTCGGTGTTCATGGTGTGTAGTTATTTCTCGGGCTTTCCTGAACCACCGAAATGGTTCGTTACAGACGTATAATCCACCAATTACTGGCTTATCATCTCGGGGATTGGGTCGGTTCATTGGCTAGGTTGAGGACACCTCACTGTGGTGTGGCACAGGTCGAGTAGTCGACACGTTGACATGGAAACTGCAGGCTCTGTTGGCTCACTTCGTGGAAATAGCAGCCGTCAATGGAAACAAACTGATGTGGGATCATCACAAGAGATGACGTGTTTCTATCCTAGTAGTACTACCGTTCGAATAAGGGGATGGTATTGGTGTGGTTTAGTATAAACCACTTATCCCCAGACATTCGCGGAAAATGTGCATCCCGTAATACTAACCAATATTTTGAAACAATGCCGGAAAGGTCGGATTGTTAGTAGGTACGGCTTTCTGACATTGTCAACTTCGGGAAATAGTATTTCTGCGATATATGCGTATCTTAGTTGAAACAAGATTTTAATTATTATCATTTTATCCGCGGTAAAAAACTTACGATTTCTAAACGATTTCTACCCCGATGATCATTGAGTTTCACAACAGACAGAGCCGGAGGCAATTTTGTTTGGGTTGCGAAATCCTGCCCGCTTTGCTGCCTGTTACGTAAGCTTGTGAATGATCATCGATCAGCATCTTCCGCTCCAGACAAACGTTAAACTCTGACGAGCATGGAGCAGAACAAAGCTCGGTTTTTATCGGCGTCCGTCGGCAAAGTTGGCAGCTCGGACTGGGTGCATTTCAAACGGCGCCGTTTGAAGAAGCCCGCTGACCTTTCCACCCCCTCCCCCTCCTGGAGGAGGTCGGTCTGGAGCTGACCTCTGACATACACTTAGCAGCTGCAGCATGACGCAAAACGACGTGGGGCGTCCCGAAACGGGGCGCGTGACCCCCGAGCCGTGACAGGTGGCTCCGTCTGTCCGTCTCCGCCGCTGTGACCGCCGTCCAATTGTGGGGCCTGCCCTCGTCTTCACCCGACTCGCTGAGTCCCAGAACTGTGGGGCCTGCCCTCGTCTTCACCCGACTCGCTGAGTCCCAGAACTGTGGGGCCTGTCCCTCGTCTTCACCCGACTCGCTGAGTCCCAG